TTTGGAGTGCAGTAGTGACTGTTCCTTGAGCACTTATATGGCCAGACTCTGCCCAGCACCATCACTCATCCCAAACTCTGCTCTGCCCTCTGCCGTGAGAGTGCAGGTGGTGCCCATATTCGCTTCTTGCACACACAAACACACCCACCCACCACAGAGTCTCTGTAAGAAGTCAGTGGGATGCTTTCAGTCCCTTCCAATACTCAGAATGCTTCAGAGAAGTGATACAGGATCAGGGCAGGCACAAGGCCTTGGGGACAGGAGCTCCTAGCTCTCCCCACCTGTACCCCAGAGGGTCATGGGAGGGCACAGTGAATTCACTCAAGACCATTGCATCATGGGAGTGTTCAGGTTGAGAAAAACAGAAGAGGCTAGAAGCAAATGTGGACATCCTTTCAGGGGAGCAGATCAGCGGCTCATTTTCCTGTGGATGGGCTGATCTGTGGGCCACTGCAGCAGTGATACTTTTAAATAAGTGGGCCTTTCCTTTCTTTAACTCAGAATTCATCTGCAGAAGGAGCGTGTCTGAGCATCACTGCGCTGGGGACTGATGCTTGCTCTGTAGCTGCCCCTGCCTGGAGATGTCCCTCGGTGTTGGGCAGAATAAGGGAATTTGTGGGTGTCAGATCCGCTTCGCCTCCTGTATAAACATTAGCAAAACACATTTGGGGGATGGAAAATTAGTTAATATGGAGACAGCGGTTGTTAGGCTTGGCTTGTTCTGTGTGTGGAGGTTTTGAGATTGGCTGCTTCGGGCTCAGGGTGACGTGGGATATTTCTCTCATCCCTGGGCTCCATCCCGTGCTGCTGGCTATCACAGGGTGCTACTTGATGATGCCTGCACTGGGTGGAGCCTGCTGAAAAGACGGAGACCCAGGGTGCTGTGGAGGCAGCCGTGCTGGGTGCCAGTCTTCCTTTCTTCCCTCACTAGACATTTTTCAGGATGAATGATACATCTCTGCCCTTAGCCACTTCAAATTATTAGTTTCCTGTTAGGTTTTTTAAAGTGTGACATTGTTTTTCAGTATTTAGGGAACCCCAGATGTTAGTAAGGTAACAGAAGGTCGTTTTTAATAAGCTCCAGGGCCCAGGAAGAAGATTTTGTTTCCGTTTTAAAGATAATTCATGGTACATTGGATCATAATGTGTCCGAGCCATCCTGCAGGATCCATCACTGTTCATTACTAACAGACAACCCTGAAATACGGCCAGCCCGCTCCCAGGTGGAATCCAGAGGAGCCATAGGTCTCAGTTGTGTGGCCACTACCCAAGTGATTGTCTGCCCAAGGAGACCTTGTACCATTGCATCTGACTTGGTGGATGTCTCCATGGAGGCAACCATGCTGGGGATCATGGTGCACCTCCTGGATGTAACATTTCCCATGTGTGTTAAGTGTGTGTGAAAGAAATCATCATGAGCAGGGTGGCCCAGCATCCCCTCCTCCTCCCCTCTGTCGAGGATGGCTTGTGTCTCTGCCATCCATGTCCTTGTCCCTGGAGAATGTGCCCTTCGACAATAAGTGGCATTATCTCTGGAGGAGAGGCGAGAAGCTGCAGGCTGGTGTGGCACTGAAGATACTCTTCTGTAGTGTGAATTAAACAAACAAACAAATAAACTTTTGCTACTTGCTGCTCTGATTCTTAAATTGTTCTCCTACTCTAAGATAATTTGTTAGGGATCTGATGCTGCCATCACAGCCTGCATTTTCCTGGTGCTTCTTGGCTCTTAAAGACCTCATGCTCTTATCTTTAGTTTCCCTTCCCCTCCAAGGCCACAGAGGTCTGGAGAGGTTAAACCTTTTTCTCCAGGATCAAACCCATAAAGGGCAACCTGGCCTGTGATAGGTTAAAGGTAGCCCACTCCTCATAAATAAGCAATAGCCCACCCCAAAAATGATAAAAGGACCTTCCTTTCTTTGTTCTCCCTTTCTTTTTTTTTTATCTCTGCTCTCTCTCTTCTTCCCTTTCTCCCTCTCTGCTCCTGCTCCCTCAATAAAGTCTCCAGTCGGACCTCTCCGTATGTGTGTAGCCTAGTTGTTGAGTGTCACTATTCCCTTTCATAAGTCCATCCATGTCCCTAAATATTTCATTATTTAAATATTTTAAGATGTGTTTTCTGCTCTGTGCATGTGTGCTCCGACGTGCATGTGTGAGCGAGGCACACTTGTAATGCTGTGTATCCGTGTGTGCGCAGATGGCAGAGGAGATCAAGTCCTGCCAGAGGGACCCAGCAGCAGCCCCTCAGGTCTAGCAGGTGTGACATGTGAAAGGGCTCTTGGAATCTTCAGAATGGTTGCCTGAGACTTAGCATGTCGCTCTTTTCCTCCGTGACCTTGACATCTCAGAAGGTAGCAGCAAACTCTGTAGAGACTGGACTGCGCTGGGACACCAGGGGGTCACCAGATCTCCAGCCTCCAGGACAAGGCCTTTATAAGCAGCAGGGCTTGCACAGGAGCGGTGCTTCCACCTGGAGAAAGGGCGGGGACCTGCCAGCGCAGGGAGTCCCGTGCTGTTTTTGTGAGGCTGAGGTTTACACTGTGTGCTTGGGAGAAGGGTGCACCTGTTGGAGCACCGGTGGGTTCTGGAGGTCTGAAAGGCAAAGTGTGCCTTGCAGCTTACTCTTAGCAGCCTCACTGACTCACTGGTTCTGCAGTATAGGTCCCCACGGTTCAGCACTATTGTGGTTGTGGTTATTGAGACTGCACCCAGGGCCTTTGCATTGAGTGGCATCCTCAGCTCTTTTTGCTCTTTTCTTTGAGACAGGTTCTTACTAAGGTGCCCAGGTGGGGCTCAAACTTGCCATCCTACTGCCTCAGCCTCCTAAAGTGCTGAAATGATAGGTATCTGCCACTGCACCTGCCTCCAACTTTTGGCTTTTTATAAACTTCCAGGGGAATTAGGAGAACATGAGTGAGGGCAGGTGTGTGTTTAGGAGTCTTTATAAGACTTGGCTGTGACAGGCTCTGCTGGAAACTAACTGTAATCTGAAGGACAGTGCAGTTGTCTTTAGTCCCACTGTGTACTCTGTATTGTGATCGTGGCCTCATGATTTGGACAGATTAAAACAATTTAGGAAGTTGTTTCATGTCCCCAGTAATCATGTACATTACCTAGCCCAGCGGAAGGCACCATGTACCCGAAGCCTTAAAAATGTTCACTCATTCAGTCTAGAAATTCCACGCCGAGAAAGGTATTCATCCTGAGAAAGGCCAGTAGAATATCAGCAGGTTGGTTTTCAGAAGAATGAAGGTGTTGTTGGTACATTTTATAAGAAGAAAATATTGGAAAAATATCGATATCCCAATTTGTCCCCCTGTTGTACACTGGATGAGTATTTCCAAATGTGGCTGCATGTTTTGTGTTGTGATGTTCGGTGGCCTAAGGGGGAGACCATCTAAGGCCTGTGGGGCGGTGCCTGGTTTCATATGGTGTGTGTGCATACACGTATAAACTTTATATAACTGTGTATACACACATACATCTACCTGGGAGATTTCTTCAGTGAACACACATTACCTATAAATGAAGTGATTAGAAAAGATGTAACTCTGGGCTGGGGAGAGCTCAGCAGTGGAGCACTCTAGGACGGCTTCAGTCCCCAGTGGTGTAAAAACAAAGCCAAAAAATAAGTCAGAAGAAGTCAGGTGAGTGACATTAAAAATCCTCTTTTCCAATGAGAAAATGTATATCTGAAGAGAAGGGGCCGGAGGGAGACTTTCAGCTCTGGGGAGGTGCAGACTCTGGCCCCGCCTCAGCTATGTAGTCCAGAAGCCCATGGGCATGGGTGTGTCAGGAAAGCTTCATCTGCAGAAGCAGGGACCTGGCCGTAGCACATCAAGTGCTCTTCCAGGGGCCCCCATGGTGGGCTTTCATATTTGTAATCCAGTAGCCTTGGCTAGACCAGTGGATAAGGCTGTCAAGTTTATTTTCATTGTTCACATAAAATGTTTTCGAACCAGAGTATCCTCAATTGGAAAGTAGTAAATGGCGTGGATTACTGTTCCTCTTGTCGATATGTGAACTAACCCTGGAACCCTTAAATAGAAGGCTGGTCTGTCCAGGGGGGAGGCCAAGATCTCCTCTGGGTTTTAGGTTCAGCTGGGGCTGGGCGTGGCTCCTGCAGGGCTCATTCATGCCCTGGATCTGCCTGCCACTCGCTGCTGGCCCAGGGACAAGACTTTCGTGATGTGAGGGAAGGGGCCGCACTCATTGATTCTGGGGCCTGGGTGTCTCCAGTTCCCGGGGCTGTCAAGTGAGATGCTCTGTCCCCAGCTGCAGCTTCGTCCCCCAGAGACTCCTGTCTCCCTCTTCCATATCCCTGTTGAAATGACTCAATAAGAAGGCTCTTGTTTATTGCTGAGCAGGAAAATAGTTTTTCTTGCTAATTTTTCCCAGTGATTTGAACGTTATTTTTGAATTATAGCCAAAGGGAGATGGGGACAAGGTCAGAACTGGAGAAATATGTCCTGCAGTCTTCTCAACTTCAGAGAGGAAGAGGACCACCAGGAGCACAGCTTGGGAAAGGAAGGGATATGTGAGGTGGCAGGGAGGAGCCTAGCGGAGTATGTTGTCGCCCTGGGCCAGTGAGGGAAAGAGGGTCCTGGTCTGCATCCCGCCTGCTAGGCATGTCACTCAAGCCGGGCGGGAAGTGTCCGTGTCCGGGTAAGAGGGGGTGGCCGCCGTGAGCCCAGTGCATCGGCTGGTCCAGGCAGGTGAGGTGTGAGTGGATGGAGTGCAGGCTCGGCCTGTCCCCTTGTGTGAGGAGCTCTGTGGGCACTGGTGCTGCCCGCACAGTCCTTCTAAAGGTGCTCACTCATTCTCAGGGGACGCTGCCCCTCGCCACTGCCCTGTGCTGCACCTGGGGTCCCCAGGGAGGAGTACCGGAAGTGTCTAGCGGTGCTGAGCCTGGGAGCCCAGACACAGCCCCGGCCAGAACTGTGGACACAGGGAGGAGCTCTTCGTGTGGGATTGGGGAGCGGACTATCCGGAAGGAAGCCTGAGATGGAGGTGCTGCAGAGGAGCTAGCAGACCTGTTAGCAGCTCAGCGGCCTCTTGTACGGCAGGCGGAGACGGCAGCAGTGGCAACTCAGGTGCTGTGGAGAAATGGGAGGCTGTGGCCTCTCAGGTGGGTGCAGCATGGCCAGACCTGGGAGATTAGGAGGGCAGTGTGCGGCTGGGATTCTGTGGCCATAACCAGGATCTCCCGGACCAGGAGGAGAATAGAACAGAGACGAGCAGGTCAGTAACCGATGACTGTCCAGCCTGGGGACTGAGTGTCCGCCGTGGATTTTTAAGAGTAAGACGTGGCTGTTGATAATCTTCTGATGAGAGGAGACCTTGGGGAGGACAGTGTGGGGTGCCCTCTGCTGCAGGCATTGGCCTTATTAAAGGTATCATTTTCCTGAGCAGGTATGAATGAGGTCATCACTTTGTGTATCTCAGTGCATTTTAATTTTTTCCAGCAGGGTGGTCACACATGAATGTGAAACTTCAAACCTTAGAAATGTGGAAAGATTTTGTGCGAAATCAAACACATATTGGAAGAAAAGTTACTTTTGGGAAACCTGGAGGCTCGTCACACATCACTGTTATTTAACTGGAATTCGTCCCCCACATTTTTCTGTCTGTTGTTTTTAGAGATGTTTGAGATAGGGCCTGCAGCTTGCGGCATAAGCGTCTTTCCGCGTTGCAATGAAGACACAGCAGAGCTTTCATTCGGAAAGTGGATCTGATAAAGGGTTAGAGGACCGGCTTGGGTGCATGTGGTGATCTGTCACGCCCAGTGTTCATGCTTATTCTCTGTTGTAGCGTTCTCAGGCACGGGTGGGCCCCTCTTGTGCGCAATGTGATTGCCACCCCAGTGCCACCATGGCAACGCTCAGCTCTGCGGCCTCCTCCTCGTTATTTCACGGCAGCCTGCGTGCTGGCCCTGCCATGGCAGGTCTGCATAATGTATGAATGCCGAGTGACAGCCAGCCTCAGCCTCATCAAAACAAGGCCGCCTCTGCAGGATGGGCAGATTGCGGAAACATATTGTGAACACGTCCTCTGGTAACTGTGAACCGTGTCGTCAAACGCGTCTTTAGCCTGTCAGAAAATATTTTGACAGGTCCACAGTCATGCTCCTTCATATGCAAATGTGCCCGAGATGTCCAGATGCCCTGGCGGCGGCAGCAAACGCAGGGAAAATCGTGGGACTGGGAGGCCGACCTTAGCAGGGTTCATTACTCCTGCAAATGAACATGCTGGAAATGCTCAAGTGTTTTCCTTCCAGTGTATAAATAAATAGCAAACTTGATGATAATTATGCTGCCAGATCCCAGGGGCAACTCCGAGTGTCCTCTGAGGACTGGGAAGGGCTGCTTTTGGAGCATGAAACAGAAATTCACATGTCAGACATGGTGCAGGAAGTAGCAGTGCATTGGCCGGCCAAGCCTGGCGGGGCTATGTGAGGTGGCAGCCATGGAGGGCTAGGAGGAAGGCCAGCCAGCTGGCTGGTGCCCCAGGACCCACTGAGCAGTCCCAGTTATGCTTGCCATGCCTGGTCGCCCCCACAGGTCAGTCCGTCGAGGCCCCTCTTTATGAAGGTGCTCACCTGTGCATCCTTCCCCTTTCCATGTCTCCCAGGAGGCTCAGCAGTCCCCGGGCTCACTACAAGCTCCCTGCATCCAGCCTTCTGTGTGAGCCTAGACCATCACTCAGCCTCACTGTGCCTTGCTGTCCTTGGCTGGAGAAGGGGTATGGTAATTCCTACCTCATATCCTAGATAGTGATGAAGATTCAATGAAGCAATTGGGGAAAATCTTCAGCAGTGCCTGTGGCAGGTGGGCAGTGCTGATGAAGTTCAAGTTGTTGTCACTGTGGCCTCCAGCTGGGCTGCCCAGGATAGAGACCTCCATACCACCCTCCTGCTGGCACATGTGGCCAGTCCTGTGAGACCTGTGGCAGGTGTTTTCTTGGCAGCTTCTGGAAGGCCTTGTGGACCAAGTGATGGATCCCTTTCCCCATTCTGCCTGCTCCCTCCATCTGTTACCTGCACACGTGTGTGATGGCTGGCTCGTCTCCACTCCGGACAAGGCGCGCCATATTGGAGTTGGGAGGGATCTGGTCTAACAGAGTACCAGCCTCCAGGGACCTCCTGCTCCGAGATTTCATTCACATGTGAGGGACAGCCTTTGTGTCTGTGGGAGCCGCCGTTGCCTCAGGCGTGCGGTCCTGATCAGTGCACAAGGTGAGAAGAAGATGTATTGTCTTTACGGTCTGGACCTGCAGTCTGAGCTGACCTGACAGTTAACTGATTCAGGGGGGAATGACCAAGTTGGCTGTCTGAATTCAGCTGTCAGTACCTGAGCAGTATCTCCAGGCAACTGCCTAGCCAGCCACCCTCATACACTAAGTTCTGAATCTGAGGGCCACTGGCTGTACTCTGGGGCATGCAGTTGTTCAGCAGAGCTCTTGGAGCACCAGGGCCCGGCTGCTGCTCTGTGAAGTCCTGGTTCAGCCACCTTGATGGACTCTGCAGAAACCCTGTGGGTTTGTGAGCTGGTAAATCTGAAGGAAGAACCTGGTCATCCAGTGGCCATTTGTAGTGGGCATTGTAGGTAGGCAGTCTCTGGCTGCAGTAGGGGAATCTTAGGTTGCTTCCATTTTTCTCATTCCTCCTGGCTTCTCTCTGGGGGACCTGACCCCCAGAGGCCCCCTTCCTCATGCAAAACGGTACTGGGTGATTTCATCCAGAGACTTGAGCTGACCTTGAATGCTCATCTGCTCCGTTTTCCTTTTGTGGTACCTGGTTTTTGAAACATGCTCTGCTGCTTTGATTTTCCTGACTAGATTTGCGTCACAGTTTCCTAGGAAGGGGTAGGAGCTAAATGCTGGAGAAAGGTGACTGCCTTGCCTTTGCAGGAAGGGTCTCAGCTTTTGGAAAAACTGGTGTGTGCACTCTTAGCCCCTTACTGGACAAGCCCCATGGGCTTTTGAGTTCCTCTGTGCTGCGGCCTCGAGAGACTGGGTCCTTGGGGCTGGGGTGGACATCTTCGCCTGTGGTTTTATGACAAGCTGTGGGGTTTCTCATTTGATTTCACCCCAATGGTTCCTGCCTGCCTCCTGCATTTCTTCTTTGAGTCCTGTTAATTATGTATGGTTTGTATTCTGGAATACAAGCTTGAGTTTGTGTTGGTGCAATGATAGATGAAAGCTCTGCCTTGGAGATCTCTGTATTTAAACAAGTTCTCTCTCTGTGTTTGTATTTCCCCTGTACAACCTTTGGAGTCTTAAATGCAAACACCAGCAACATCACTGTAATAATTATACACCTTTGTGTGGGACTGTTTAACTCAGGAGAGCCAAGGCTCTGGAAGGTTCGCTGGGCATTTCTGACATGACACTGTCTCCCACCCACCCCATGCAGCTCTTTTGCAATTTCTCCTGGGAGCTGGAACCTCAAAACTCAATCAGAAAACTACTTTTTGTGTCAGAACTGAGTCTCTCTGGCTTTGAATTAAGTCCATCCCTGATCAGTGCTACCTTGAATTGTGGACCAGCTGTGCCTAAGATGCTGTGAATGGTCAGAAACAGGCCAAGCCTCTTGGGGGACTGGAGACATCAACAGGCTCTTCCTTGGTGTTCTGTTTGAGAGTAAGGCTTGTGTATTATGTTTTTGCATCTTTTTTCTCATGGATTTTCCACATTGCAGAAGCTGTCCAGGTTGAAACTGAAAATGCTGGTTTTTATTATAATAAAAATAAAATAGTATTTTCAAAATGTTGACAAGTTTAATTTCAGAGAGAATGGAGTGTATACACCACAAAGGAAACATACTTTTAAAACCACATTCTGGCTGGCTGGTGTCCACCCACTTTGTCAGGAGTGAGCACCCGGGGCACAGGGTCCCCTCATTGCACGTTCTCACCCTGAACCACGTCCCCCATCTCAGATGCCAAGCAACTGTATGTTGTCAGATCTGTGTGGATACTTTTCCCTGGCACAACTCTGGGACTAGTTCTCCCCAAGCACAAATAATCTCCCTCTAGCAATAAACTCAGCTAAGGAAGAGCTTGTGGTCCAGGGGTCACTGGGCATTAGTGAGTCCAGTGCTGGACTTGGAGACAGGTGTCCTGAGTTAGGGTACTGACCTTGCTCTCCCCTTGCTGTGTGGTGGAGGGTTAGTCCCTAAACCTCCCGGTTCTCGGTTCTCTGTGTGCAGATGGGAGTACAATGCCTGCTCAAGAGGACAGGAGGAAAAAGGCCATGCAAGTCCATGAGTAAGCTCTGCCAGCCACCCCGCTCCCTGTAAATGGGGTTGCTTTCTCTCTCCCTCTGCTTCGTAGGATTGACCTGCGTCTTGCTTGGTAACGGGCCTCGTGGAAAACAAGTTGCTTCAAAAATGTGTTAGTCTTTAGGTACATCAAATGATCTGTGCTTCTTTCTAGCCATCCTTCAAGCAGTTATGATGTCTGAGGTCAAGAAATGTGATTTGATGATTGAGAGTTGAGTCTCAAAGACTGAAGGAAGAATAATACACTGGATCAATGACTTTTCTAGAAAAACAATCAGAGTCATGCATGGCCTTTCCCAGAGGCCTTTCCCCACCCTTTCTCCAAAGCTGTGCGGCAGGGAGTCCCAGTTCCCTACATGTGTACTACATGTACGTGGATGGGGGAGGCTGAAGAACATTGCCCTTGGAGGTTGGCCAGCAGGTGGAGCTGGCTAGAATGGACATCTTCCAAGAAAGACAGGGAGCAAAGATTCTACACTCGATTTTAGCCAAAAGGCCAAGAAGTGATTTGGGAGCAGAGATTCTAAAGAATGAGGTTGGCCTTAGATTTTCATTTCCCCTCAATGCTATTTTTTTGTGTCTTTTCTTTAGCAAGGGCAGTGAGTCTCTTTCTTGGGCTAAGTTCTCCAGACTTTATCTGGACATGTGCAGGGGCCAGGTGGTGTCCTCTATCCTGTGACGTTGGGCACACTGCCTGCTTGAGTTTTTGTTTCCTCAGAGAAGGAGGGAATGCAGAGGGAAAAGTGCTGTGTTTGTGGGAATGGTCGTGACCATGGTTAGGAAGTTGAAATCCTGCACAAAAGTTGGAGATGGCAGAAGACTTGGGAATGGGCACCCTGGAGGTGCCGTCCCCTAGTTCTGGTCTGGCACACTGCTCATACAAGGCATTTCATGAATGTGGATGGCAACAGGGATAAAAGTTGGAGTGTATTCCAAGAAAAAGTTGGCAGTAGAGCTGTTA